GAGATGAAAATGCAAACAGGTGGACTCTGTTTGCTAATGAGGTGGCTTCTGAAGGCAATTGAATGCAGAGGATGTTATACTATCAGAGGAAAGGGGGCTTAATAAGAATACACACCAGATTTTTAATTATTCCTTTTTAGATTTCTGTTTCAAATTTTGAACTACAAACTAGTTTTCTTTCCTACATGCTGTCACGTTACATCCAGATAAATTGTATTTAGTTTGTGGTTATAGCATAAAAAAAATGAAATTGAAAGAGGAGTGAATACTTGAGGTACTCATTGGTGCTGCAAATATAAGTTGGGGTTATGATCAGAAAAAAAAATCATCAAATATATCAAAATCACTATAAAATGTTCATTTGTAATAAATTAACAAAGCAAGTGTATTTGATAGTGAAAGGTCATGCTTCAATTCTAAACCATCAAATAAACATTTTCTCTACAACAGAATAAGGCAATCTATCCTATATACTCCAGTAGGGAAGGTAGTTTTTCTCTGCAGCTCCCTGAACTAAAATATCTTTGCAAGACTTGCATTACGAGTCACAGCAAATCTTTCTCCCCAAGCTGATAAGTGAAGTTGTAAGCTCTTCCTACTGCCTTTCCCCTGTGTTTTCCACATTAATATTTCATGGCTCTCTGTATTAATATTTGCCTCTGTTTGTTGTCAAGTTTCCACATTTTTACAGCAGAAAGAGGTAACTGGCAGCAGCTCCTCATAACAAACTCGGCATTGGAAATCTAGGTCAGCCTCTTTAGAAACACGGTTCGACACTCTTCAAAGTACGTCTAGCAGGTTCATGAGCAAAAACTAACTGTTTACAGCACAGCGGCTTAATGTGGATGTGCTTGCTTTCTGACTGCAACATGTGAAGCTCTATGTGTTTAATACAGAGAGAGGACCCCGCTCTCACTTCTAGCATTAAAACAACCAGGTTAAATCAGCAAAAATCGATGTTTTATGTATCAGTACTATCTAAAAATATAACAATTCTTCTTATCATCTCATATGTGTCACAGAAATCTTGACATGTGCCAGATTCCCCTAAGAGACAAAGAATATATGGCATACAGGAATTAAATATTCATACCTTCTTTCACATTTTTTTGTTGTTTTTGTTTCAGTTAAAAACTTTGACTCTTTTTATTCAGAGTTTATGTCATACACAAACACACTGCAGTGGATAATAGTCAGGAAGAAAAACAAACAAGTTTACATCTGAAAAGTGTGATATCGTTTAGTGAGTGCTTAGCTAAAACTGAGTTATTACTTGACAAGACCAACTTTCACTGCATTTACAACTGTATATGTTCGGTTGTACCACCAACAGATCTGAACATGTTTCCACCATATTCAGAGCATAATAGCTATGGCTCAGTTCGTGTTATCAACAAATTTTAAGAGATTCTCTATTGGAAGTAAATCTGGGCTTTGAGCAGCCATATTAAAAAGTTTTTATTTAAACCAGTCCATTGTAACTCTTAAAGCTTGCAGCTGTGAACTTCTTCACAGTTTTATCCCTGAGCAGTCGGATATATTCCTTGTTCTTTGTGATGCTGGTTGCTCACAGATGTTCTCTGCATAACCTCTGAGATCTTCACAAAACAGCTGCATCCATGCTGAGATTAAATTGCCTGCAGGTGGACTCTATTTACTATAGATAGTCGGTGGAACTGAATTGTATTAAGTAGCATTGGATTAAAATTATTATTATTATTATTATTTTAAAGAGGACTACACTATGTGGATTGTTTAATTTTAGTTCCACCTCAATAATGTGCTACTATATGTTTGTCTGTGATGTAAAAATTCCAAGAAAAATGTATTCTATATTGTTGTGACCCTGTGAAGGGCTGGTGACCACGTCTACACCACCTCTTGCCCTATGACTGCCGGAGATAAACACCAGTCCCCTGTGACCTTGCAAGAAAACCGAGGTACAGACAATGGATCGTTGTGCTTTTCCCCGTCCTGTATTTTCAAGCTGCTTTACCTACTGGAGTCCATGGACTGTAACAAACAACATCCCAGGTGACCCCAGAAGCTAAGAGTGGGCCTTAGCCCCCCATAAGCGAAACCTTTGCTCACTCAAAACCATTCCAATGACAGAAGCTGTGTGTGTCCTCAGCATCAAAGCAACAACAGCAGCAGAGCCTGCAGTCTAGCCACTGGGGCACCATCAATCGTCTAGCCGGCATCCCTGTCTGAAGTGAGAACGTGTCTTATTTCTGTGTTGCTGGGATATTTCCAGCTCCCGATTCTGATCTCACATTTAATAAAGGTGGATATTGAATTTTAGACAGCTTTCAGATAAGAAAACCATCATTGAGTGGCACAGTGTGGACTGTGATTAAATCTAAGCAGGGTCCTCGCTGTTACTGTTAATTGAAGTGATTGATTGTTGCCTCCGAGTTGCTTGAAGCCCAGTTCCTTGGCAACAGATAGAATCCAGTACGCAACTGGTTAAAAAGATTAGTGTTTACACTTACAGTGGCATTTCTGTGGCTATTTATAGTTCTCAAAATGTGGGAAGTGAAATGTGTGTGTGTTTGCGTGCGTGTGTGGTGAGACTCATTTGGTTGCGGACAAACCTTTGAAATTGGGTCTAATTCGTGCATCGTACCCGGACGTGCGACCCATTAAGGAGTCCAGAAAGTCTGATGGAGACATGTTGGATGAGGACCTGGAATCGTACTCCTTGGCGACCACAGCTCTGGAAAGCACACATGGTGAAGGGGAGGGGAGAAAAGAAAAAAAAAAAAAGCACTTGATCAGAAAGAAGTCGCAGCTCAGAAAGCAGGTGTTAAACCTTATCGGTGTAGCCCAGGAGCTGCCTGGGAGTCAGAGGCGCTCACAGAAAACGTGTGAGTTGCAGACACACACGCACACAGACGTATATTAAGCTATCAGATGTGATTTCCCTTCCAAAACAGGACTAATCTGTTCATAACACGAGAATCCCACAGAGATGCATAAACGTGCAGGTGGAAGCAGCAATAATTTTGCAGCGATGGCTCAGCAATTAATACGATTGGGTGCTTAAATAACATTCAGTGTTCATTTTCAACCAAGCAAAGAAACAAAACAAAACAAACAAACAAACAAAAAAAAAAACAATTCTAAAGATTTTAAAATTTAAAATCAAATTAAACAAATAACATTATTTTGTGCTTTATCATTTTTAGTTCGTCAAATAGTTGAGCTAAATTAGGTTAAAGAAAATAAATTAGTCTAAATATTTCAAATTCCGCCGTTTTTTTAACTTCAAAATAAAAATAATAATAAAACTCAGTCGCAGTACAAACAAACAAACAAACAAAAAAAAAATCTAATTTCTTACCTGAAGTTGCTCATCTCCAGGAAGTATGTGAAGATAGCTGCTAAAACCTTAAAGAAGGATTGTTTCATTCCCGGTGGTTTCCCCATGTGCTTCACTTTTCTATTCTATTTCTTCCATATGGTTCACATCAGTCAAACACATAATCCAGACGGGAACAGCGGCGTTCTCCTCCTGACCAAGTCGTTGGCGTTCGGGCTGTCTCGGGTCACGCAGAAACGCGGGAGACATTCCTCAAAGCGGCCAAAGATCATAGTTCAGTTTCACAGAAAAACTCCAGCACACAAAATCAAACTGCTCGAAGCAAAGGCGGGGAGAAACAACAGTCCTTGGGGTCGGGGGGGGGAGGGGGAGGGGGGAGGAAATAAAAATAATAAAAATAAAAGAACCGTCGAAATTATGTTAACTCCAAGACGCGTCGACTTGCAGCTCCTCTTCAGGCGGTGGATTGAGATCTAAAAAGGCTTCGACCTGCTTCCAGGCTTGCTGGCATCTATGAAGTGAAACCGTTTTCAGGTGAGAGGGGCTGTCAAGGAATGAGAGAGGAACGCCTCGTTTTTTTCCCCCCTTCTTCTTTTTCTTCTTTCAGTTCAGCACTTGGACAGCTCCCGGATTCTTTACGCGCAGGCGCAAGGCATTTAAAAGTGACGAACGTGAGTTGAGTTCGAATAAATCTAATAACGGAGCGAGGTAATCACCGGGAATATATGGGAAATTGCCTCCAGCGTGTGTTTCACGGTGATTGACGGTTGCACTTTTAAATGCTGAATTTCTTTCCCCTCCTCCTCGTGTCATTGCTTTGAAAGGGGAACTCCTGGTGCGCGCATCCGCGTATCAGAACTGAACGTCTTTCTGTGGGAATATTTCATATCAGGTCAAAGTACAGATAAGAATTTTTGCCGATTCTGGGTGGGGATTCTGTCGATTTCACTTATGTTTGTATTTCAAAGGTGCATAGATTGAATGGTGAGTTATTACTCCCAGGGGGGTTTCACTGTAACAGAGGATTGACTGGCCGCGCTCTGACTCCGTCCTTGACTGTGTTTTCTACAAACCGTGCATTTTTTCCTTCTTCACTCCTATATTGGAGTGTTCAGAGATTGCGAAAGGTTCCACAGAATTTCACTTGGGAGCCCACTCCCATCTTCACTCCGCACACTGACATTGATCGAGGTTTATGTCATTAAACTTGAAAATGATTGAAAACTAACATTAAATTCAAGAGTAGAACTCAGATTATATAGATTCATTGCACACATGTATCTCCTTTAAGTTAGATTGTTGCAGTTTACAGCAAATGAAAACAAACAATTCATATGATCAGGATATTGGACATTACATAAAACCTTCATAGAAACAATTCCATACACAGAAATGCTAAAACTGAAAAGTATGTCCTTGTATCTTACTGTACGCAATGTACACTCACAATCAATTATAGTTAATTCGTGATTTATTATAAGGGGCAACAACTTTTCTACATTGGGCCAAGTTGTATTGGGTAGCATCAGTGGATGCAAATAATTTCATCAGATTGTCTTTTCTTTCTGTGATATTACAACTTACTTGACGGTCAAAAACATTTAGGGGTCTCAAAACAATAACAGGAGAGATCTTCAGTGCAAATTCACACAGAAATCTCACCCAACCCCTCACAGACAGAGTTAAGACCAAAATTATTCATACCTCTGGCAGATTTAAGGATAAAGTGATCTTGTAATAGTACCAACATGTTACATGTTTGAGTTATCATAATTGACTTTTTAAACTTAAAATCTTTAAGTCCTTATGTAAGATATATGATTTTGACATAAAGTCAATTCATTCATTCATTCATTCATTCATTCATTCATTCATTCATTTATTAATTCATTCATTCATTCATTCATTCATATTTAGCTCTTTTCCTTTGTCAGATACATTTTTAAATTAGTTAATGAATTTATAGTAGTTTTATTTCATCCATCATGGAAATATGCATTTGTCTTGGCTTTTGGCCCTTTTGTGCTATGATTCAAGGCATCCTCACAGATACATATACGTGTGGTATAAACAAAGAACACACCAGTGAGAAGCCACTCTGAGAGTATTTGCTACTCCAGTTGCCCTGGAAACAGATTTCCAAGGCACATCGCTGGAAATGCTAAAAGGTTGGCCTCCCAGAGTGAGACGGAGGAGAGCCGACTGGCTGTCACTGATGCAGACGACAGGAAATATGCAGAAGCCTCAGGCTGGAGGAGCTCAGGTTTAGTGGGCCACCATCACACAGACTCAGTAATTTTTAGTCCTAGTTTGTATGCATGCAAACTTGACGTATCAATACAGAGGTTGGGGTGGGAGAGCTGACAGTTTTCAGAATATGAGTGGGTTTCAGAGGCTTCTTGGACCACAGGCGTGAATGAGTCACTCCACACAAACACGTATGAGCTGTGGAGGTAGCAGCTAAAGTTACACACACAATGACTGCTTGGTTATTTCTTCAGCCCAAATTCTGGGTTGATGTTCGGCTGACGCTGTCTGGACAGGTGTTGGGTAGTTTAGACCAAACACTCAGCGTTATCAGTTTTCAACAGAAAAATAAAAAAAAAATAAAAAAAATCTTTCAGCTTAGTAGCAACTTTTAGCTAAAGGATTGGATAAGTATAAAATTTCACAATATCATAGCCTTCAGTAAATATATCATATTTAAAAAAATTTACAACTTTATGTTCTTTCTTGTGTCTCATTCTAAGTGCGTTTTGCGTTAGACTTTTAAGTCACTGATTCTAAGTCAGAATTAGTTCTGACTTTCGAGACAGAACTAACTCTTAAAAGTGAGCCTGACTTTTAAGTCTGAAATAGTTTGACAAGTTTCCATTCAGCCTCTCCTATTAGTCATCCTTCCCTCAGATCCCTGCCTTCTCCTCCAGCTGCTCTGCGTTGTGTTGACTGTTCTCACCTGGTTTCTCTGCCTATTATCACTCCTCCCACATACTTGATCTCCATGGTTTCATTGCTCATCACTGCATTCTGCTTTTGTTCTCCCCGTGGTTTCTGGTTGTTTAACCTTTGGTTCTGTAAGCTCCTCAATGTCTCCACAATCAAATCTCCACTCCCATACATGCCACAGGTCTCTGTCTTGCTGAGTCAATGTTGATTGACTCAATTGATTCATTTGACTAGTCTTTAAATTTACTAGCGCTTATAGGTTTTTTTAAATTGTGGATGAAAGATTTACTTTTTTATATATATATAATGTTATTCTCTCATCAAAAACATACCTGGAGTGTTGCTTTGATTCTTTCATCCTTGAATCTCCCTTGGCAACCTGAATAGTTGAAACGCTTGCTCTCACAAAGCTCCTCCTTGGCGCTTCAGTCTCCAGCCGAGCTTTCACCTCACAGAGCATCTCTCCGCCGCACGTTCGCCAGTCAGCTCCTTCAGACTAGCAGCAGCAACAATTACCAAACACCTGGTGAAACTGTGAGCTTACATTAGGAACTGTACTTCTTAAGAAGAGGTATAGTAAATCAAGAGTAAATTGTTCTTAAGAACGATTTAAAGGGTTTAATAGGGAAACATTTTTGCACTACAAATACAATTGTTTGTTCATAATAAGTTAGCTAAAAATAAAGAAAGAATTTTGCGGAGGCGTAGTTGCAGTTGCTTGGCACATACAGAGAGACTCTCCTACAAGAACAATGCATACTATTTGCTTTTGAGTTCTTGTTTTCATACCACTCTTTGCTTGATTTAATGTTAGTCCCTTTAACCTACCTTTTAGTATTAAAAAATAAAACACTGAGCTTAAACAGATGTTGAAGCAACCCAGGAAACAACATAACCCAAGTTGAATTGTTTTTAACTTGGCATTTTATAGAGAAAACTGAAGGGGGCGGGGGGAGGGATGTCATAAATTCATTCATAACTACCCAACCACAAGCATTGTGCTGAGTCTCCTCTTGACGCCTCTCATGCTTCACCGCTGCCACATGCCCCAGGGCAACATTACGTTTCAGCCTGATTCTTGGTTATTGTCCAGTTAGCAGATCATCCCTGCCTGAGGTGAAGTAATCGTCCTCTCTCTGACAGAATTACAAGTGTCGGAATCGCTCTCATGCTTGAAAGTGTTGGCATTTTTTTCCACCTCATCTGGGGATAAAACATCTGTGTGTCAACAGAAGCTGTGTGCATTGCTTCTTCTAAGGCATGTTCCCGAGCATAAATGCTTAATGCGCAAGTTAATTATTCAACAAATTCTTTGCTTTTGATAAAAAAAAAAAAAACCTTATCTTGCCAGTTATGTGGGGCAGCACCGTCACCATCTTTTTGTGCGGACGGCTCAAATGTCACGGTGTCGGGACGGTGGCAAAAATAACATATTTTAAAACCAGAAATATTCTCTAATGAGTACATTTCTAGCTGATAAGAGACAGTCATCTTTGCACCCAAGTGCCTTATTCTCCTTTCTAAGACAGCTGCAGTTGGCACATCTTTGTGTCATGACAGCCCACCGGCGCTTCAATTGGCCATTAGTTTCCGTGAGGGAAGACTTCAGGCCAGGTGGGTCAAATAATTAAAGAAGAACAAGTTGAATCTGTGTGTTAATGAGGGGAGAGATGGATGCTTGCCTTCCTATTTCTTTGTGAAAGGAGGGAATAAAAGCACAGCTATTCTTTCAACTGAAAGTGCTTGTCTGTTCTCACACAGCTATTAAAATCTTAGCATGTTATGGAGCTGCCCACCAACCACAAAAAAAAAAAAAAAAATAAAAAAGGATAGGTAGTTTGGCCACACAATGCGGTGGCTTGGTAAAGTGCTCAGGCGTTGAGAACTTTTTGTTTAAGTTACAACCTCAAACTTCAATGTATTTTTAGAGTTTATGCAATAGGCCAACACAAAGTTGTGCATAATTGTGAAACAGGAGCAAAATGACTAAAATCTGAAGTTTGTGACATCTTGTGCTCAACCGCTTTACTCAAAACTGAAAGCTTCCAGAAGTCCCCTAGTTACATAGGAAACATAAAAGAGTAACCTAACTGTATTATTCATGATGTGACATAACAAGATCAATTAACCAGAGAAGCAGCCCAGAGGTCTAAGGTAACACTGGAGGAGCTTCTGAGAGCCACAGCTCAGGTGCAAGAACTAATCCATCAACTAATCGGCAAATTAGTTGATGGATACAAAGTAATGTATTAATAATTCAAAACATTGGTAATAGTAATAAAAAAACAACCAAAAAGCAAAAAAAGAATGAATGCTTAAGAGGCTGCACAAAATATGTCCTTTGCAATAGAGTGTTACTATCACAAAGAATAGTTTCGAAAGTTACATTTTAGAGGTTTTGTTCTAAAAGTTTAAAGTTCACATTTTGAATGCCAATAACAAAGTTCACCTGTTGCGTTTAGTTTGACTGCAGTAGATTCTCACGCCTGACTGAGAACAGAGCTGAGATACTAAACATGGCAGGGCATTACAGTTGTAATTGTAGTGACTTAAGGGAAAAAAAAAACAGTATTTCTCACAGCAGAAATCATCCCAGCAGCTCCTGTTTGAAGAAAATTTATCATATGCTGTACGTACAAAACAGCTGAACAGTCACTGATCCCTGCTCAGTTACTGGGAGGTTGTTGACGGACCGGAGAGCTCACCTGGAAACAATAAGCAGGCTTTAACAGCCTGATGCTCCCGCGCACTGGACTGGAGACAATTGAAAGCTGCAGAGAATCCATTGCTCCATCGATTCCTTGTATCTTTATCCTACTTAATGACTTTTTTTTTTTTTTTTTGCTCTATAACTCAACTCG